CGCTAAAGAAAGTTTTCATGCAAGGACACTATGGAAATCCACATCTGTAACACAAAGCTTTATCAAGACTGCATCTTGGACAGAGACTTATGCAGATACAAGAAAGGTATAAATGCCTTCTGAACATAAATGACCTAGTTAAAATCAATAGATACTACAAGAATAAAATGCTAATTTCTATTATGTGATTTTACACTACTCTTCCATATTATTGTATTAGGAACATCTTTTTCCTTTTTAAGCCTAATATAAGTGTCAGTCTCCAAAAAGGAAAAATACTTACAAACACATATAATGCTTCTTTGACCAAATACTCTATTTTGAAAAATTCATGTGAGCAAGAAGTCCTTGAGTGCCTAAGAATGAATGAATGGATGGAGATGGAAAGATGGAATAAATAAGGCTTTAAACGTAATCACCAGCCAGGCGTGGTGGCTCATGCCTGTAATCCCAACACTTTGGAAGGCCAAGGCAGGTGGATCACGAGGTCAAGAGATCGAAACCATCCTGGCCAACATGGTGAAACCCCGTCTCTATTAAAAAAAAAAAAATACAAAAATTAACTGGGCGTGGTGGCGCACACCTGTAGTCCCAGCTACTTGGGAGGCTGAGGCAGGAGAATTGCATGAACCCAGGAGGCGGAGATTGCAGTGAGCCAAGATCGCGCCACTGCACTCCCGCCTGGTGGCCGGGGAAAGAGATGGACTCTTTGTCAAAAAAAAAAAAAAAAAAAAGTAATCATCAAGATCCAGGCAAAGCAGGGAATGCATAAATAATATATGCACAAATTAAAATCACATTAAAAGGTCAGGTTTTTTCTGCTCCTTTTCCTTCTTTATCTCTTCCGGACTCCTCACAAGACCAAGTACTATAAACTTAAAAAACCACTGTCTTCCATCTCCAAAGGCATCCCAATTTACTGAATTAAAGCTTTAATTCCTTAGCATCCAAATTGATATTATCTTAGCTTACCCTTAATTTTTTAAGTAGGAATTCATGTAATCTTGGGAACAAAATTTTTTATCTGTTAATATTACCCATCTACTCCTGAGTTTTACCTGAAAACTGAGAAGTAGGGTGTTTATAAATGGGGAAAAGTAAATATTAAACATTTGCTATTTGCTATACTTGCCAAAGAAATAAATTTTTGTTTTATTCCTGAAAGAGGAGTAAAGAGAGATTATCACAATAGTTAAATCTCATTTCCCAGGTACTGAGGACTTTTCCTAACAACGACAAACATATCACACTCACTTCACCATTTCTACAAATAGAATGCTGTTACATTTACCATTGTTCAGATAAAGAACATTAGGCCCTAAGGAAGCTGTGACTTCATGTCTCACAATAAAACAGTGGTGAACCTTTGTTAGTTATAAAATAGTCTGTTAACTCCCATAAAATGAAAATTTCTCACAGATACTGCACATGTAAATAAATACAAGTGTGCCTAGTTTTAACAGAAGTCACAATCCTAAAAGTTTTATAGCTACCCAATCATATTTTTAAATCTATTAGGAACGTCAGCTATTGAAGGCTATCACCTGGAAATATTATCTGAATAAAACTTGTGTTTTATAATTTTAAATACTTGATACTTTTCTTAAAAAAAAAAAAAAAAAAAGAAAAAGAAAAAGAAAATTGACATTTTTCAGGCATTTCAGATGCCTGAAAAAAAAAATGCCATAAGCCTACAGTCAGATAGGCTGTCAGGAAAAATGCCACATCCTATTCAGTTATGATTGAGAGGCAGTCCCTACTGGATAGGGACATGCTCTATGCAGTAGCTAAGGCTGGGGAGAATGGTTAGAGAAAAAGCTAAGAATAGGGTAAGATCAGGAGCTGAAAGTTGAATTAGATGACTTCCAAGATTCAGTCCAAATATGTGACTGTATATTGGAAGGTACTTTTGAGCAGCAGTGATGGATATGTACTGATTGGTTCACATTTCTGTCTATCTGTTGTGAGATGTCTAATAGTATTTGAAAGCAGAATATCTAAAAGCAGATAATTAAGTTTGTACTTCCTCTGTGATGAACACTGACTATGGCAAATATAATCTAGAATTGACTTTTTAAGAAACACACAAAATTCAATAGGAAAGAACATGATATCATAGAAAGAACCTCAAACCCTATCTCACAGCATATAAAAAAATCAATTCTGATGGGCCACAGACATAAAAGTAAACACTAAAACCATAAAGCTTCTAGAAGAAAGCATAAAATGTAACGAAGGTATAGATTTGTTTACCTTACCACATAAAGGTAAAGATTTGTTAGAATTCAAAAGGCAATAACTATAAAAAAAAAACTGACAAACTAGACTTTATAAATATTTAATAGTTCTGCTCATCAAAAGATACCATTAAGAAAATGAATAGGCAAGCAAAGACTGGAAAAAATTATTCACAATGCATATATATGACAAAATAATTCTACCCAGAATATATAAAGAACTCATTAACAATAAAATTAACAATAAAATAACACACACTTCTCAAAAGAAGATATACAAATAGCCAATACATACATGAAACAGATCTCAGAAACAATAATCACAAGGAATTAAAAGACCACCCCCTAGTCACTAGAATGGCTACAATGAAAAAGACTGAGAACACTAAATGTTGTCAAGAATATAAAACAAAATTTTCATTCATTGCTGGTGGAAATAAAAAAAAAAAAGGTACAAACACTCCCGAGAACAGACAGGCAATTTCTTATAAAGTTAAATAACACCTACTATTGGGCCAAACTGAAAAATATGCCCACAAAAAGATTTGTAAGAATATTATAAAAGTTTTATTCATAAGTCAAAAACTCAATCAAACGTCCATCAACATTTGACCGAGTAAGCAGTTTGTGCAATGGAATTTTACCTAACATTAAAAAAGAATAAACTGCTGATACTGGCAACAACATAGATGAATCTTACAGACATTACACCAACCAAAAGAAGTTGGATGGTTCCATGTATATGAAGTAATAGAATTAGCAAAACTCATCTGTTGTGATAGAAATCAGATCAGTGGTTGCTTCTAGAAAAGAAGGGGAATGCCTAAGATGGGTAAAATAGAAGTCTATAGGATGATAGTTTTCTAAATCTTGATAGTGCTATGGGTTACATAGTGTCCATATTCATCAATACTCACAAATTATATAATCAAATATATATTTTACCCATTATAAATTTTAAATAAAAATTTCAAATAAAAAAAGAACTCAAATAAAATAAGAATTACAAATGTTATAATTCTAGTAGACTTGCTTTATAAAGTGGTACCACTTGGCAATCTGCAACTACTTTCTGAGAATCCTCAGCTTTTAAAAACTAGTAAATATGAGTAGTGATAGCCAGATTTCTCACTGTTGGTTAACAAAAAAGATACAAACATGGAAAAGGGATGGGAATTACAAATATAGAAAAGGAAAATACTATTTTGTACTGACAGACTGAAATTAGAAGTATATCAGTATAAACTCAAAGTTTTTAATAGATATTGTGTGTGTATATATTATATACATATATAGGCATATTTCTATATGTGTATGTGTATACATATATGCACAAACACTTCCTAGTTCTGCTGCACAAAGGGCCTAGCAGTAACAACATACCACTGCTAATGAGCATATTCAGTGGCCAAATCTTGGTTTCTAAATAACATTAACCGATAAAAGGATTCAGAACTTCTTGGAGAAAAGGATTGATTATGGGGCTTCAGAAGAGAATCTGCAAGATGAGTTTGTTTATAAGAACTTGCTGCACCAGAAAGTAATAAAGTACTCAAAGAATCATGAGAACATGTTAAAAGGACAGAGAAGCCAGCTTGAAGGTGCAGCCAGTGGTAAAATCTGGAACCCTTTGGATATCAAATAAATAATGATAATGCATTCAATACATTACATTAAATAAGAATAAGTTTACATAGACGTAAGTCAATAACTGAGGTAAAAAGGAAAGCTTCTGCTTATATTAGAATATCAACTGACAAATAAGGAAATGTAAATATAAGAAATAATGGAGTTAGAAAATCATCAATGGATGCTAAATCTAGAGGGTAAAAATCTGATGAGGAACAACATATTTACATAATCCCAAAATCTAACTTCAAAATACTTTTTAATTACAAAGGGAAAATAAGAAACTTTTCAGTAGAGAAATTTGGCAGATAATCACCCAAGCAAGTGACCCAACATGATGCACAACGAACGTCTCATTTCTATTATATTTGGACTCAAAATGCCTACCCAAATCTAGTCAAAGAGAAATGACAGACCCAAATTGGAGATACCCTATAAAAACAGCCTGTGCTCCTAAAAAATATTAGGGTCATGAGCCATAAAGAACGACTGAGGAACTTTTCCAGATGAAAATGATTGAAGGGATATGATAAATAAATGGACCTGGGTGAAAGAAAAAAGCTATAAAAAAAATTCTGTGACATTGATACTGTTTTATTCTTTTTGCCAGTAAGAAACCCCCTAAAAAGGTTAAACTTGTGCAGAGTCACAGTTAGCATACACATAAGCCAGCTCTGTCCACCTCTAAGGTATATGCTCTGAGCATTACACTTATTAGGCTAATTGCTATTTCTGTGGCTAGCCATATTGGAGAGCTATAGTCTCAATCCAAAATTTCCACATGCACGAAATTCAGTTAAAATTTGGTATTCTCTTACATTTTGTAAGAGAAATAATTAAAAGCATCTCCAAAACTGTAACCAAAGTTGGACATTTCAAGTTACATAAATACAAAAAAAAAAAAAAAAACACAGAAAATGGAAGTATAGCTGTCATTCATTTACTCTATAATAACTTACTTTCAAAGAGTTTTATTAAAAAATAAATGAAAGTAAACTCTAGGTAGATGTGATAAATGAAAATTATAATAAAAGCTATTGTAATATGCAAAAACTGAACCATAACAAATAAAAACACACAGTGTTAGCATAGCTGCTGAATTCAAGCTTCCATACTTACAAAAGGTACACATACCTTTTCCTAAATGTGTGTTTATGCTCATATATCTAGCTGTTCCTGTAAGGCTCTTGTGTTCTCTGTATGGTATGTGTTTCTTTGTCTCTGGATCAATATATTCCTTTGCCAAACCAAAATCTATAATATGAATAACTTGCTGGGTTTTGTTTCCTGGTCGTCCTATTAAGAAGTTCTCGGGTTTTACATCTCTGTATATCAAGTTCTTTGAATGGACATATTCCATGCGAGAAATCTTGATTTAAAAAAAAAAAGAGGGAAGTTTTATTTTGAGCTTAGACTAGCCTAAGCAAGTATGATAAAAGCAAGACAGAACTTTCACAATGAAAACATACAAAAGAAATAAATCAGAAATTGTTTCAACCCTTTAGAAGTAAGATAATGTGTCACCATGTTGTTCTTCAAATACGCATATCGAATTACAATTTAAAACCTTTGCTTTTACTATTATGGTCACTGAGAAACAAGAGTATTTGAATTTTATGAATTCCTTTCATATCAGTAAGCCTGATTCAATCAACACTTTCAGAGGATGTTACTTCATAAAATCAAAAAGCCATATTAATACAAGACCTTGAACTCAAAAGTATAAGCAGATATGTGCAAAATGTTGCAATATAGTCTTCCTTATCAGTTCAATAATCAAGCAATTTTACAATTACATTAAAGAAATTTAAGAGTCTAAACTATTAAATAAAAACAACAACACTAACAGTATCTTTTTCTTTTCATAACACATTTCCTTTACTTTCTCCTAGGTATTAAACATTTAAAAATGATTAATCTTAAAGCTAGGAAAGTCTGGAATCCAACTCTAATATTAATAATATAGTTCATTTTTATTAATTATTTCACAGATTTTCAATGTTCACTGTACAAAACTATCCTAAAACAGAGTATTACAAATAAGAACATAAAATTGCTCCATTTAGTGATAATCATGGTTAACAATGCAATGTAAACATATGGTTACACAGGTCATTCTAGTTTGTTTAATAAACTTTGCATCACATAATATACAATATTCTATGTATATATATTCTTAATGATATAAGCATTTAACATCATAAAATATTCTGTTTTGTTCGGAGAGAACTGTTGTTTGGTTTTTGGTGGCTTTTTTTTTTTTTTTTTTTTTTTTTTTTTTTTTTTTTTTTTGAGACAAGGTCCCATTCTGCCACCCAGGCTGGACCACATAGCTCACTGCAGCTTCCACTTTCAACCTCCAGGCTCGAGCAATCCTCTTGCCTCAATTTCCTCAGCAGCTGGGACTACACAAGCACACCACCACACATGGCTTATTTTTTATGTTTTGTAGAGACAGAATCACACTATGTTGCCCAGGTTGATCTTTAACTCCTGGGCTCAAGTGATCCTCTCGCTTCAGAATCCCAAAGTGCTGGGACAACAGGCACGAGCCACCACACCTAGCCTATGAATCATCCTTTAATATGTACTTTTTAATAGCTGCATATTTTCCTCTGGCTGTTAATTTATTCAACTAGCCCTGTTATTTCTGCACATTTGGGTTGCTTGCCATTTTTTAATTATAAACATCCTTTCATATAAAGCTTTAAGTACCTATGAATACATCCATAGGATAAATCTGTAGAAGTTAATAAGTCAATGAATAAAAACAATTTTAAGACTTCTGCAGCACCCTTCTATTGGCATTTATTTCAAAACTGCTTTAAAATCACTCTCGAATTATTATCCCATAGATTCCCTGAAGTCTAAGTAATTTATCAAGACGCGCTCATTAGTTTGCTTCTTGTTTTTCGAGGTCATAAAGTTTATTACCAAAATTAAGATTTCATGTTTTTCTGTCTGGGTGCAGTGGCTCACGCCCATCTGTGATCCCAGTACTTTGGGCGGCTGAGGCAAGTGGATTACGAGGTCAGGAGATCGAGATCATCCTGGCTAACACAGTGAAACTCTGACTCTACTAAAAATACAAAAAATTAGCTGAGCGTGGTGGCACGCACCTGTGGTCCCAGCTACTCAGGAGGCTGAGGCAGGAGAATCATTTGAACCGGGAGGCAGAGGCTGCAGTGAGCCGAGATCGTGCCACTGCACTCCAACCTGGGTGACACAGAGAGACTCTGTCTTAAAAAAAAAAAAGGAATCCATAAAGAATCCATGTTTCTGAGGATTCTCTTTTGAAGTATTCATCTTTTATATGAAAAAACTGCTAGCAACAACAACTTAATTCTCAAACTGAGCATTCTCATCTTAATGCAGTTAACATATCAGTTTTTATACAACTAAAATACACTTGACTCAGTTATTTTAAGTTACATGGATCCCAGAAAGAAAGACAATATGAAAAGTAGAAACATCTGTATTAGGTCAAATGCTCTGTAAGACAATATCACAGAACTTTAAAGATGAATTTGTGACCAACAACCATGCACTTGTTACAATGTCAAATACCCTATTTTACTTACCAGTTGTATAGCTATCATGAGAACTGTTTTAAGAGAAAATGTTCTGTCACACAAGTCAAACAAGTCTTCCAAACTAGGTCCCAGCAGTTCCAGCACCATAGCATTGTATTTACCACAAGGGCCAAAATAGTAAACTTGAGGTATGCCATCTGGGGGAATAAGAAATAGTCATTAAATAATTTCATTATCCTAAATACTAAGGTTTTCCTCCTAAAAATTGATATTTAAAATTTTATACTTTCAAGAACTAATGCAGTACTATTACTTTTCCCAGGTACATACTTTTCTTGACCAAACCTCCCCACCTCCCAATATCTTCTCTCTGATGTTCACATGATACCCTAGATACACCTCTGTTGCAGCTACATAAACTGAATTATATTATAAACAGTACTTCATTGTTTCTCTCTATCACCTTACTACTGAACAAAAGCTGGGCTTTTTTGCTTTATATTTCAATGGCCTGGAGAAAGACTTAGCACACAGGAAAGATTCCAGTTCTATGGAACAAGAGACACTACTGGGTTTAATAACCTTGTGGTAGGCATACTGCTAAGATCACCCCTCACCCCCAAGATTCTCATCCTCTGGTAGATAAACCTTATATAAACCTCTCCCCTTGAATGTGGGCAGGATTCCTGGGATCTCACTATTGTGACTAGGCTAACTTACATTGCAGATGTAATTAAACCTCCTATCGGTTGACTTTAAGTTGATCAAAAGGAAGAGAGAGTATCCTGGTCAGCCTGATCTATTCAGGTGAGCCAAAAGAAGGTCTAGAAGTCAGAGATATTGGAAGCAGCAGAGAACTCTCCTGTTGGCCTTAAAGAAGCAAACCACCAAGCCATGGAGGGAGCCACATGCCAGATAAGAATCCTCCAGGAAGTAAGGGCCTCAGTTCTATTGCCATGAGGAATTGAATTCTGGCAAGAACCAATAAACTTGGAAGAGAGCACTGAGGCTCATGTAGATTGTAGTCCAGGCTTACACCTTAATTTCCACGTGGTAAGACTCTAAACAGAAGACGCAGCAAAGCCATGCCTGTATTCCTGACCCACAGAAATTGTGAAATAATAGTCTTTCATTTTAAGCCAGTAAGATCTAGTAATAATTCATTACGCAGCCATACAAAATAATACAGACTCCAAATATGAAGTCTGAATGCCTGGAAGTCATCTGTATTTTATTTTCAGAGCTAACAGATTCCCAATAAACTAAAATATAAGGGATCAATTTCCTTTATGTGGAAGTTGTCAAAATCAAAATGGAGTCACTTGTGTTAAAGCCCTGACAGACAGATCTAGGGAGAGAGCTGAAAGGAGGGTTCTTACACATATATATGCCTGATAACAAGAATTATCACAAAAGTGTAAAAACCACAACCTGGAACAAAAGCCACTGCAACCTTACAAAAAATTACTCTGTGAGGATATCTGTCCAGCAACTGCCTGTCCAATCTTGGACTGATGCCATTCTTGTTAATGATCCTTGTAGCCAAGGAGAATTGTCTCAGAACAACTTATGTGACCCTCCCCATTTTTCTTTTAAAAACTCTTGTCTTCCTTTACCTCCCTGAATATACTCACATATATTCCCATTGTGATGTCCACTCCTAAATATCATTTTTAGAGTTTCCCTATTATTTAGTTTGACACTTAACACTGCATTTATGTATCTATTAGCATGAAAAAATGAACTTCTTCCACCACAAATGTCTCAGTTTTACTTCCAAGTGATTTTTTTTTCAGTATATTGAAAGGGAAAACAATTCTAATAAAAACTTCTTATTCTTTTTAATAAAAAGTTTTTAAATATAATATTTAAAAAATAAATTCTTTTGAATAGTTTTTTAAATATATTTAAATATAATAATTATTTACCCTATGACCTAATCAAACTCCACAGCTTCTGCACAGCAAAAGAAACAATCATTAGAGTGAATCGGCAACCAACAGATTGGGAAAAAATTTTTGCAGTTTACCCATCTGACAAAGGGCTGATATCCAAAATTTACAAAGAACTAAAGCAGATTTACAAGAAAAAAACTAACAAGCCCATTCAAAAGTGGGCAAAGGATATGAACAGACATTTTACAAAAGAAGACATACGTGAGGCCAACAAACATATGAAAAAATGCTCATCATCACTGGTCATAAGAGAAATGCAAATCAAAACTACATTGAGATACCATCTCACGCCGGTAAGAATGGCGAACATTAAAAAATCTGGAGACAGCAGATGCTGGAGAGGATGTGGAGAAGTAGGAACACTTTTGCACTGTTGGTGGGAGTGTAAATTAGTTCAACCATTGTGGAAGACAGTGTGGAGATTCCTCAAGGACATAGAAATAGAAATTCCATTTGACCCAGCAATCCCATTACTGGGTATATATCCAAAGGATTACAAATCGTTCTACTATAAGGACACGTGTACACGAATGTTCATTGCAGCACTGTTTACAATAGCAAGGACCTGGAACCAACCCAAAGGGAAAATGTGGCACATATACACCATGGAATATTATGCAGCCATCAAAAACGATGAGTTTGTGTCCTTTGTGGGGACATGGATGAACCTGGAAACCACCATTCTCAGCAAACTGACAGAGGAGCAGAAGATCAAACACCGCATGTTCTCACTGATAGGCGGGTGTTGAACGATGAGAGCACATGGACACAGGGAGGGGAGCACTACACACTGGGGTCAGTTGGGGGGAAATAGGGGAGGGACGGTGGGGGGTGAGGAGCTGGGCAGGGATAGCAGGGGGAGAAATGCCAGATGTAGGTGATGGGGAGGAAGGCAGCAAATCACACTGCCACGTGTGTTCCTATGCAACAATTTTGCATGTTCTTCACATGTACCCCAAAACCTAAAATGCAATAAAATAAATAAATGGGAAAAAAAATAAAAAATAAAAATAAAATAAAATAAAATAAAAATAATAATAATTATTTACCCTATTATTTTGAATATAAATTATTATAGAACAGAAAACACTGAACTAAAAACCAAGACAACTACATTCTTAGTCTAACCTAATATTCCTCAGCTGTATGGCTAGCTTGTCATTCAACCTCTCAAGTGGGCCTCAGTTTACTTATAGATCTATAACAATATTAGTGATTTAGATAAGACAAGTATTTCTCAGATATGAATATGAATGAGGGAGCAGAACATCTGCAGGTGGGAATGGAAGATAGTGTAATCACTGTAGTCCCAGCTACTTGGGAGGCTGAGGCAGGAGAATCACTTGAACCCAGGAGACAGAGGTTACAGTGAACAGAGATGGTGCCACTGCACTCCAGCCTGGGTGACAGAGCAAGACTCTGTCAAAAAAAAAAAAAAAAAAGAAAAGAAAAGAAAAGAAACAGTGTAATGAAAGCAGGAATGGGTACAAATTGAAACTACATACATGATGCCCTCCCCAGAAACAGAGATTCTGACACACTCCAATGTGTATATGTCAGCACCCCCTGCAAACACACATCACACACACTTGTCTCATCTTCTCTTGCTACTGGGAATCACTCTAAAGCCACTCCTACCAAGCTGCTCTTATATGTATCTGTTATATCTACCCTTCACATGTGTAAAGGTGGAGAAAAGGTTCAGAAACAGGGAATGAGAGGCTTAAGTTTATTCCAATTCTAAAATCCTGCTTTTACAATTCTATACACATTAAGAAGCTAGAGAGGCAATTAAGATTTACAAACAGCCCTCAGCTACCACAACATTAACAGCTCTCAGCTACTAGGCTTTTAAAATTCTTTCCATAATGCTTTTTCCCCCTCTATGCCACTGAAAGTTAATTTGCATCCTCTCAATTTAACAATCTCTAATAACTTATTCTACTCCAGTTTGTTATTTCTGATATGTAGGGTGCATGGAGGTTACATCAAATCTTGTTAGAACTATATGCAAAATGTAAAAATAAAAAGGTTTTGAACTTCTTCAATGAAAGGACTGTCAAAAGGCTTCTCTACTTCCTTCTGAATCACCATCTATATTCCCAATAGTTAACGTTGTTGAGATATGACTTCTGAATAAGACAGATAGCAGTATGTTTTAGTTTATAAAATGACTGTTTTTTTCCAAATGTTTTTAACAGTTTCCAAAACAGGAAAACCATTAAAGGAATTTCACTGTCTTACTCAATTGAACAAATACTTACTGAACATATACTATATCTTTACGGGACTGGGTTAGGCATTATGAATACAAAAGTGAATGAGACAGCATGCTAGGGATGCTTTAACCCAGGAATACAAGGTTGGGTTAATATTCAAAAATCCACCAATGTAACTCACCATAATAATAGAATAAATGGCAAAAACCATAAGATCATCTTAATGGGTGCAAAGAAAGCATTTGATATAGCACTCAAAAATCTGGAATAGAGGGTTCCTAAATCTGATAAAAGGAATCTAGGAAAAACTACCAGCTAACATCACATTTAATGGTGAAAGACTAAATGCTTTCCATTAACTACTGAGAGCACGACAACAAAATCCAATTTTAACTTTTCTACTCAAGACTGCAATGAAGCAAAATAAATAAATAAAAAGCATTTTCAATAATGAATGAATGTACTCTACTATTTCAAGAAAAACTGACATCAATAATAAAGGTTTCAAGCAACTGGAATTTTGTAAAAATTTTTATATGCTATGATGACCTTGACAGTTTTCTAATACTTAAAAACTTGTTCTGATGAAATTGTGGTAATATTAGCTACTATGATTTAATTTTGGGTAGTGAAATGTGTCAGTACGTGAAATACATGCATAACTCAATGAACCAGTGTTCTCCCAAGGACAATGCATGTAGTTACAAAATCACACATGGGTAAATGGTTCAAAGTACAATGGATTTTAAAGTACGAGAGTAGAAAAAGGTTTTTGACATGATTTCTATACTCTACATTGTAACTGACCTTTAAGAAACAACCGCTTGTCAAATTTTGGTGTAGATTAACTTTGTTAATCTTGACTAATTAATTTTTTAATTATGGATATGTCAAAGGCATATTCATAATTAAAAAATTAATTAGTCAAGATTAACTAAGTTGTGGGTTAAAACATTGATGAGAATAGAAAGTAGTAGGTTTTTGAAGGAAAATTACCCTAACCTTTTATTTTTGAAGGAAAATTACCCTATCATTTTGCTTTTAGAGAAAAATTACCCTATCCTTTACAAAGTAAGCATACATATACATACAGTGATGTTCAAGCTTCGTTGTTTGTTACAGTTGCAAAAAGAACTGGCAGCTACCTAAAAATCCATCAACTCTAGGCTAATTAAACAAATTATTAGCTTGGTGCAACTGTAATTGCAGTTTTTGCATTGTTGGAATTTTCTGTTTGATACTGGAATACATTCTTAAACGTCATCAGGTTACACATCATTTTAATGCATGTTTTTCGTTTTATGTATTTTTGGTAATGACTTACTACTTGCTGTTTATTTTATATTTATTTTAGACTATGGAATGAGCGATTTTCTTGATTCAAGTTCAAAAATGGTTCATAAAGCAGCGGAAACAACATGCAACATCAATGATGCATTTGGCCCAGGAACTAACTAACATACAGTGAAGTGGTGGTTCAAGAAGTTTTGCAAAGGAGACAAGAACCTTGAAGATGAGCAGCATAGTGGCTGGCCATTGGAAGTTGACAACAACCAACTGAGAGCAATCATCAAAGCTGATCCTCTTAAAATTACACAAGAAGTTGCCAAAGAATACGTCAACCATTCCATGGTAGTTCAGCATTTGAAGCAAATTGGAAAGGTGAAAAAGCTCGATTAGTGAGTCCCTCATGAGCTGAGCAAAAATTTTTTAAAAATCCATCATTTTGAAGTGTCATCTTCTCTTATTCTATGCAATAACAAGGAACCATTTCTTGACTGGATTGTGATGTGAGACAAAATGTGGATTTTATATGACAACTGGTGATATAACCAGCCCAGTGGTTGGATGGAGAAGCAGCTCCAAATCACTTCCCAGAGCCAAACTTGCACCAAAAGAAGGTCACAGTCACTCTCTGATGGTCGGCTGTGGTCTGCTACATTACAGCTTTCTGAATCCCAGCGAAACCATTACATCTGAGAAGTATGCTCAGCAAACTGATGAGATACAATAAAAACTGCAATGCCTGCAGCTGGCACTGGTCAACAGAAAGGGCCCAATTCTTCTCCACCACAACACCAACCACACACTGCACAACCAACACTTCAAAAGTTGAACAAATTGGGCTATGCAGTTTTGCCTCCTCCACCATATTCACCTGACCTCTTGGCAACCAACTACTACTTCTTCAAGCATCTCAACAACTTTTTGCAGGGAAAACGTTTCCACAACCAGCAGGATGCAGTAAAAATGCCGTCCAAGAGTTCATCAAATCCCAAAGCACAGATTTTTATGCTACACAAATAAACTTATTTCTTGGTAGCAAAAATGTGTTGACTGTAATGGATCCTATTTTGATTAATAAAGATGTGTTTGAGCCTAGTCATAATGATTTAAAATTCACAGCCCGAAACTGCAATTATGTTTGCACCAATCTAATTATGTCATACTGATTCTATGGAATATAATACAGCCTTCAACTATTTTTGGAGATAACTATGAAAGACAAACTTTTATTATTTACTTTTTATAATACTGCTGATTAAAATTGTTGTTATTTTAAACCATGTATTACTTTTAAAATAATTTTTTTTAATGGAGTCTCATTTTATTGCCCAGGCTGGAATACAGTGGTGCAATCTCAGCTCACCACAACCTTGGCCTCCTGGGTTCAAGCTATTCTCCTGCCTTGGTCTCCCAAATAGCTAGGATTACAGGCGCGTGCCACCATGTCCAGCTAATCTTTTTATGGTATTTTTAGTAGAGCTAGGATTTCCCTATGTTAGCCAGGCTGGTCTCAAACTCTATACCTCAAGTGATCCACTCATCTCAGCCTCCCAAAGTGCTGGGATTATAGCCATGAGCCAGCACGCCTAGCCTTAAAATGAAATATTTCTAAAGAGTCACTGATATGGTTTGGCTGTGACTCCACCCAAATCTCATCTTGAATGTTAACTCCCACAATTCTACAACATGGGAGGAGCCCAGTGGGAGGTGACTGAATTATGGGATCAGGTCTTTCCTGCCACTGTTCTCGTAATAGTGAATGAGTCTCACAAGATTTGATGGCTTTAAAAACGGGAGTTTGCCTGCAAAAGCTCTTGTCTCATCTGCTGCCCTGTGAGACGAGCCTTTCACCTTCTGCCATGATTGTGAGACCTCTCCAGCCACATGAAACCATAAATCCAATAAGCCTCTTTCTTTTGTAAATTGCCCCGTCTTGGGTATGTCTTAATCAGCAGCATGAAAATGAACTAATACAGTCATTTAACATACATATGAATAGAAAATATAATAGAAGAAAAAAGCAGAAAGCTAACATTATTGGACGCACTGGTGATTTCTACTTTCACTTTTTTTTTAAATTTTTCCTAATTTTTATTACACACATATGCTATTTTTGCAATCAGGAAAAAAAAATGCTTACTTTAAAAATTCTGGGACCACAAAGAAAAACTTAAAATGATATTTAGACCAAACTATAATTTTATTTCCCAGAACAAGTCTGGATAGCTTTTTTATCACTGAGCAAACAGCTTAAATTTTTAAGAGGTAAGAAAAATAGCAACTAACAAACAGAGGTTGAAGCAGGTATACCCAAAGCAAAAACAAGGCAAAACCACCACCGCAACATAAATGGTAGGTAAGATCACAAGGTAGAGATTTTTTAGAAATGGGAGAGGTAAGGAAAAAGAGGTCACGAGAGGTTCAGAAAGGTTTATTCTTATACCTGGTGAATTTTCAATTATAAACTTACTCCACCCACTTCCAGTGGTTTTAGAATTATTTTTGAGACTAATATAAAATGCTATCCATTGTGAATTCATGAAAGTTAGTTCCAATAATTTCCAATATATTTAATTTTCAAGAGAAGTCTATTTTTTCACAAGAAAAGCTCAAGGAGTATGAATTCAAAATTCACATATTTGAAAATACAATCTCATTTTCCCTCAAAATTCACTTCATTAAATATTTCATTTTATATGTTAGTATTCCTTTTAAGTCACAAAACAAAATTAAGTCACATAACAATAATACATAGGAAGTCTAACATTATTAAAGACTGCTTGGGACTTTTAAAATTCTTCAGTTCCTTACAGATAAGTATTAGTTAAGTAGATCATTAAAGAAATAATATGATCAATTTCACAGTAATATTATGATCCATTTTCAGGTCTAGAGTTCTTCATGTAAAATGTTAAATAGTGATATAGTTTGGATGTTGTTCCCTCTAAATCTTAGGTTGAATTATAATCCTCAGTGTTGAAGGTGGGGCCTGATGGGAGTTGACTGGTTCATCAGGGCAGGTGCCTCATGTCTTGGTGCTATTCTCATGATTGCGAATTCTTATGAGATTTCGTTTAAAAGTATGTGGCAACTCCCCCTCACTTCCTCTCTCTCTCTTGCTCCCACTCCCACCATGTGATAGGCTGGCTTACCCTTTGCCTTCTGCCAGGATTGTAAGCTTCCTGGGGACTTATCAGAAGCCAAACAGATGCCTGGCACCATGCTTTCTATATAGCCTACAGAACTGTGAGCCAATTAAACCTCTTTTCTTATAAATTACCCAGACTTGGGCATTTCTTTATAGCAACACAAGAACAGCCTAACACAAACAGGAAGAATTAGAACAAAAATATTAACAAACTTACTAGGGAATTTAAACTTCATAGCTCTGATTAAGAAAACCTAAATTGGCAGGGCTCAGTGGCTCACGCCTGTAATCCCAGCACTTTGGGAGGCTGAGGCAGGCGGATCACAAGGTCAGGAGTTTGAGACCAGCATGGCCAACACGGTGAAACCCATCTCTACTAATGATACAAAAAATTAGCCATGTGTGGTGGCATGTGCCTGTAATCCCAGCTACTCGGGTGGCTGAGGCTGGAGAATCGCTTGAACCTGGGAGATGGAGGTTGCACTGAGCCAAGATTGCACCATTACACTCTAGCATGGGCACCAGGGTGAGATTTCATCTCAAAAAAAAAAAAAAAAAAGAAAAAAGAAGAAAAAAAGAAAACCTAAATCGTGGCTAGAAATGTTAATACAGAATTATCATACAGTGATTTTTTTTTTAGGGTAATTTTGCATTAAGGCATTCTTAATCTTTAGCACAAATGCTCATATTCCTAGGTCAACAGTTCTCAACATGTGGCCCATAGCTCTTGAGGACAGGGGTGGTCCATGAGACCCATGCAGGAAGTAATATCAAAATTATTTTGTAAAAACATAAATAGTGATATTTTTCACTCTCATTCCAGAGACTATGGGACTTGTATTACCACAATAGAATAAATGCAAAAGATAGGGGAATCTAGCTACTTTCTATTAAGCCAGACATTAAAGAGACTTGCAAGATATGTAAAACAGTGTTACTTTTCTCATTTTGTTTTGGAAAGTATGTCAACAAAACTGCTTTGATTTGAAAACGTCTGAATTTTTATTTAAAAAAAATATAGCAACATTTTTATATTTCTGTGTTAATTTCTAATACGGGATATATCAACAGCTATAACTCACAACAACAAAAGTACTCTGAGATATTCAAAAAGTGTAAGAGCATAAAAGAATCCTAAGACCCAAAAGATTAAAATGTGCTGTCCCAGCTGAATAGTAAGCACTGATACGAACCAACAGGTGCACTGAATTATGAACTTGGTAACAGTTCTTCCATTAAAAGACTACAATATATGTATTTAGTAGTAAAATTCCATCAATTAACCCCACATAAAAGAAATCAAGTTATCTCACTGTAAAAAGGAGCAACAGTCCTTTCTGTGATTATTGAATCTATACATTTAGAAATTCTTCTAACATTCAAACAACGTTTAAAGAAATTATAATACCTACAAACAAGTAAAAATTTAAATGTTACAAAAACTGAAAAGAATTTAAGTTGTTATCCAATTTGGGCCTAAAAAATTTTAAGGAAAAAATGGACTCTATGATTCTTCCCCTAGTCTCTAAGCTACAAGCTTACAAATCTTTTCTTCTTACAATGCATTATATAACACTTAAAGCAAAACTAAATATTATCATAATTTTTCATGGTTTTATACTTTCTTTTTACTATTGTGTGAGGAATTACAAATATATATATATATTTAAGAATATTAAATCCCTCATCACCATTTAGTAATACTCTACTCAAAAGTATGATTTACTTTTTAAGATTCCTATGTGGTTAATCACTGAAAATATTATAATAACCACACCACAACACACAACCACACTGATGCCTGTACCATATAAACCAAACTAAAACCACTATCAGTTAAACCCCCCACTTTCTTACCGATAATTCATAGCATTCTTTAAATGTACACATTCTCCATAAACTACAACTTTAACGGAAAAAAACTGTATACTTCCATCTACTATGATAGCAGTATCAATTTAAGTATATATTCACATACAAATTAGTAAATGGTTAGCAATGCAAAACTTGTAGAAATTTCCATACAGAGAGACCTCTTTAAAGAATTAGAAGTATTACATATTTTTAAGACTTCTAAAAGCAATTTAGCTAAAACAGAAAAAGGAATTCTAAGAATCTGCTACATAAACTATCTGGGCTGAGATTAAGTTTACAGTACTGATTAACCCACTCATCATATTTTCATTACTTTTGTTAGTATCAAAATACAGTAGGTAATATTCTAAGTAGTTTATTCACTTAACTTTCATGCTTTTTACAGTATTTCCTTTCAACTTTATCAAACAAAAGCTTATGAGACATACGGAGCAGAATTTTTTGAATGTCTTATCTAAAACGTGGTCTGATAAACTTGATCTGGTAACTGAATTAAATGAGTTTTAGATACTACTGAATGGTTTATACCTACAACTTTAACAAAGTTTGTGCTATTACCCATAAGGCTTCTCAAAAGTGAACAGTACTATAAAATTTCCATACAATAGGAAATCACCAGCATTCATTTAACCAGCAAATAGAACTAAATAGTCTTAAAAAGAAAGTGAAAATGTAGGCATCTATAAACCAGAATAAAAAATGTAGGGAACACATAAATCTAGACTTTTTAACACAAATCAAGAAGGCAGAAGGATCAGCATAAAGAAGAAAGAGGGAGCTTCTCAAATACCTTTTAAAAGGCAACATTATAAAGAGTTATAATTTTAGTAACAGCACCTGTGGCTACCATCAAATTATGGCTTAGAACTACATAGTGCAAGGAATCTCAAAAAGTCAACCCGCTTGAGAAATGATTATTTAACATACCCATGGTATCAAATAGTACTTTTAATACCATTTCTGTAGTTAGAGATTTGCCAAGGATAGTAATTTATGACAGAAAAAAGATCATTTACTTCTCTGATAAGTAGTAACGTATGACAGAAAAAAAGGTTTATTTCCTATAATGAAAATATCAGCTAATTAAGATGTTCCAAGGAATGCATTAATTGCAGTTTCCCCTAATGTAGCCTATTTAAACTAATGTCAAAAAAAATTAAGAAGTATTATTCAGAATCACAGAACTTCAAAAACAATTTTCCCATAAATTTCAAAATATCCTATACATTTTCATGAATTAACAATTCAAATATATTTATTTTCAAGTAAATGAAGAAATTGAGTTAATTTTAATTATTAAAGCCCACCCTTCTCAAGAAGTGATTAATTTTAGATGGCTGAATTGTAGAGTTCAGTAAGTTTTGTTTTGTTTTTTTTAAATGGAGTCTCGCTCTGTCACCCAGGCTGAAGTGCAATGGTGCTGTCTAGGCTCACTGCAACCTCCGCCTCCCAGGTTCAAGCAATTCTCCTGCCTCAGCCTCCCGAGTAGCTGAGATCACAGGTACCCATCACCACACCCAGATAATTTTTGCATTTTTTAGTAGAGATGGGGTTTCACCATGTTGGCCAGGCTGGTCTTGAACTCCTGACCTCGTGATCTACCCGCCTCAGCCTCCCAAAGTGCTGGGATTACGGGTGTAAGCCCCCACGGCAGGCCTCTGTAGATTTTAATACACAAATTTCTGCATATCTCCTTGGTTACCATTTCCATTAATTTAAAAATTCTCATCAATAATTTTTTCCTCTGATCTCTAGTTGTCTAAAATGAGAAAATAAATTTACCGAATCATAGGATAATCCAAATAAAATTAATTTTTAAAAATTAAAAATCTAAAATTATACTATTCGTCCAGAAATAGAAGAAACTCAAATTTAATAATACAATTTTGGATAATATTAAAATATCAAACTTTAATCATAGGATCACAGAAGTTACAAAACTATAGGAAATTTGAAGATTATATATCCCAACTTCATGTCTAATGAAAAAAAAGTCTGTTATTGTCATTTAAGAATTTATTGTTTCAAGCACTTACCAGGTACCTACAACTGCCAATTATTCTGCTACCAAGAAGAAAAAGATGAACATATCATTATCGCTGACCTCAAAGAGTTCAAAAATTCAGTGGAGAAGACAGACATAGACAAATAATAATTACCATACGATAAAAGAAAAATAAAGGTTTCAAAGGTTTTCATATTCAAAATAATATCAGATCAAATAAGAAGAATCTTTTCTGGAGAGGAAAAGATGTCAGAAAATACATTGCTAGGCAGGTGACATTTAGCTGGGGCTTAAAGAAAAAAGGAATTCATTAGAAAAGAAAGATATTTCAGAAAGAATACAAACGTGAAAATAATAAGACCTACTCAAGGAACAGTAAGTGTAGTGCCACTAAAAAGTAGGTCAGTAGAAAGAGAAAAAAACTTGGACTTCATACTAAATGATGAGCCCCTAGGTAGAGGTAAAAAGGGAGGTGAGATGCTAAAAAGGAAGCCCAATTCAGACAATGGGGACTGGAATAGGAGAATGGAGTCAAGAGAGAGTTTAAGAGACAAAATTGACAGAACTTTTTTACTATACCAATACATCAAAATCAAAGGAGGCTAACATTTCAGCTTGAATAGATGTGCAACTAATGGAACTCAGTAATCTAAAGGACCAAGCAGGAAGGTCTTTTGAAAGAGAGAGAAATTGTTGAGTAAATAAGGGGAAAAGAAAGTAGGGAATTCAATTCCAGTTATATGAATTTCTGATTTCAGTAGGGACATTCACATACAGCTAAATTTTAAATATGGAAGCAGGAGAAAAAGAGCTGGAAGTTATCTTTACACAAACAGTAATTTCATTTCTTCCTCCTTCCCTCATGTTACAAAAGATCCAGGACTGCAGGATGAAGCCACACACTTAGGTAGGAGCCTGGTTCCTTATTTTAAAGCAGCTGTACCAGTCCTACAATTGCCCCCCTCTGAACTCATTTGTCTCACATTACATCCCTTTACTTGTTTAAGCTACTGCTGTCACAATTTTTGTTACTAAGGGTCAAACTTATTTCTACCCAATGCAATGGTCCTCATAGCTTTGTTCTTGCTACTCTTTTCTTGTCAACCTCTATACTCCCCTCAGGGAGATCTCATCCATTTCTTTAGTTTTAAAAACCATCTATGTGCTGATGACTCCCAAATCTAGGTTTTCATTTGACTCAGTGAATGCTGAGTGGATGTGTCAAAACAAGACTATTCAATACATCAAATTTTTGCTATCACAGAGACTGATAATGGTATAAAATGATGTTCCAATCCTATGCAAAGCTAAATAATGTAATATAAAAAGGGATATTCTCAGAGAAGCTACATAAAGGGAAAGAAAGAAAGGTGGATTTACAGGAGGATCAAAACCCAAACGGGCAAAACCAAATAGTGTATTTTTTCACAGATACCTCACTAAATAATTCTACATAAAAATATTTTCCAATTTTTTGTGGTAAAAGACACATCAAATTTATCATTTAAACCATCTTTAAGTGTACAATTCAGCAGCATTAAGTACATTCACATTATTGTACAACCATCACCACTATCCATCTCCAAAATTTGTTCATCATCCCATACTGAAACTCTTAGCCACTTAACAATAATTCCCCATTTCTGCCCTCTCCCCAATCCCCTAGACACAGGCTGAGGCTGCAGTGAGCTGAGATCATGCCACTGCACTCCTGCCTGGACAACAAGAGCAAAGCTTTGTCTCAAAAAAAATACAAAAGAAAACACCATTCTACTTTCTGACTCTATGAATTTGACTATTCTAGGTGCCTCCTATAGGTGGAATTTATTTGTCCTATTGTGACTGCCTTATTTCACTTAGCAGAATTTTCTTCCTTTTCTTTCTTTTTTTTTTTTTTTTTTTTTGAGACAGGGTCTCATTCTGTTGCCAAGGCTGGAGTGCATTGGCGTGATCAAAGCTCACTACAACCTTGACCTCCCCAAATCAAGCAATGTACCTACTTTAGCCTCCCAAGTAGCTGTACACAGGTGTACACCATTACACCCAGTTTTTTGTTTTGTTTTGTTTTGTTTTCTGGTTTTTTTTTTGTAGAGATGGGGGTCTCAATTTTGCCCAGGCTGGTCTTGAATTCTTGGACTCAAGCAAACCTGCCTCAGCCTCCCAAGGTGCTGGGACTATCGGCATAAGCCAACACACCTAGCTTTCCTTTTTTAAAGCTGGATAATATTCCACCTTATGGATATACCACATTTTTATCCATTTTTTTGTCAATGTACACTTGGGTTGCTTCTACCTTTTGGCTATTGTGAACAATACTTCTATCAATGTAAGTGTACAATTAACTGTTGAAGTCCATCCTCAGTTATTTTATGTATATATCCAGAAATGGAACTGCTAGATCAAATCGTAGTTCTAAGTTTAATTTTTCTAAAGAATCAACATACAATGTTTCCACAGGAAAAAGTTAAAATAATCAAAGTGCACCTTTGTTACTCAATTCAATGACTTGCTAAACTCTAACGTGACTTACTCATTTTTATTAAGCCACTTAATCCTATTCTTCCAAATGACAGTTTTACTACTGAAATAGATAGATCTGTTGTTTTTATCACTCTGGCATCCAATCGCCTTTATATAACACCAGGATTTCCCAACAGGCAATCACCTCCCCCATTCTCAATCACTAAAGTTCAGATAAGAATTTGATTTAACCTGGAACAATCAAATTCTCAGTAATTAATTCAGGGATAAGCATGACATAAGGCAGTAAGATTGAGTCCTACAGCTTTTGCTGAAATATTTAGGGAAGAAATGCTTTCATGATTGATAAGCCTAGGTTACTGGTGGTCACCACCATCATCTCTTAACGGCCAACCAGAGAGTGAAGCTTACATATACTCAAAGGCATATTACAGAGACTTGAGATGCTGATGACAGTATTTGAAGCACTGGATAGAGCAATGTCTTATATATCAAGTCATTTCCTTGAATTTCCAACTACATGAATCAATAAATTTGTTTTTTCAAGCTTAACTTCTTATCTGCTAGTCTTAACTAATATGCATAGTTTCACATACAATTAGTTTTACCATAGTAGCCTTTAAATCCCATTTATCAGTGATAATTTGGAAATCTCCCTGAGGCCTGTCTATATCAGATTTAAATATGCATTTTAAGAAGTCTGTAGTGATGACCACATTACTACAAAATTTAAAACTTATTGTCCTTGCAATGACTACTATACGCAAAATATGCTCTTTGAAAAACAAAATGTAAAATTGATATGAGTATTAAATGGACAGCTCTACACACTAGAATGTAAACATGCTTACAAAAAAAGACACATGAAGAAATTCCATTTTATTAAATCTGGAGAAACAAAAATCTCCTACCTGTATTATTCAAGAAGCTATACAAGTAAAATCTTTATAATTAATTGATTGGAAGTAGACAGAAAAGTTGGAGCAGTGAGAAGCTTTTAACAGAAAGGAAATGTAACACACATTAGAAATTTTTTCCATGAATTTTCTCTAGTGGCATGAAATAATCTCACTTAAATTTAGAGTTTATGTAAAAACATATTTATATTCGTTGCCTAGGGCTGCTGTAACAAATTACTACAAATTGGTGGCTTAAAACAACAGAAATTTATTTTTTCACAGTTATGGAGGTTGAGAGTCTGAAATCAGTTTCACTGAGCCAAATCAAGGTGTTGGAAGACCACACTCCCTCTAGAGACACTAGGCCAAAGTTCTAGAAGCCTCTTCAAGGTTCTTATGGATGCTCTGCTCCACAGTCACACTGCCTCCTTTTCTGTGTGTGTAAAATGTACCTCTGCCTCTCTCTTACAAAGATACTTACGATTAGCTTTAAGGCCCACCCAGGTAATCCAGAATAATCTCTCCATCTCAAAATCCTTAATTTATCATACCTGCAAAGTCTTTATCATAGGGTAACATGTATAAATTCTAGGGATTATGATACAGATATCTTCTATGTAGCCATTTTTCAGCCTACCATTATATTATAAGTCACTCCAACAGCTATAATAGTGCCAAAAAGACTAAGAATATGGAAGAAGTATGCATTTTATGTTCTCAAATTTTTTCACAATGTTCTCTACTCATATTAGCATAAACATAAAAAGCTCCAAACCTGTCATATTTAAAATAAGAGATCCTAAGACCATAGTAAGAAAATGTCTAGTAAACACAGCCTTGTGAAGTGATCTTCTTAACCAAACTTAAAATATCATTCCTTGAAACTAAAAAGTCATGACAATTTACTTTTTTTCAAATTTAAAAATTAATATAAGATTTTACCTCCAGATCCTAACTGCTTATAGAATCTGTATTCCAAATGTAGCTGTGGTGCTCTGGATTTCATGGGCTCCTAATTGAAAAACAAACAAAAAAAGACTTTAAGTTACTAAAAGATCACTAGGCCCCAACACAGATGTTATAAATTTTGGTATCAACGACTATATTATGTAATAGTCTACCAGGCATCTTTGTCTCTCTAAGATTAGATCCATATAAAAATCAACTTTCTGTTCAATGTAAAATAAAATGACGCTACAAATCTACATAAAGTAAACAGCCATTAGATCAGGCAATAGAAAAATCCCTTATGTTTGACTCTTTGACCCTGAGAAAAAATATGTCCTGAACAATCATCACTAGAGAAACGATGGCCCTTACACTATTTCTCCTGTTCCCCAAATTCACCTCTGAACTGTGTGTTTCTTACATAAAGGTTCTAAATTAAAGTTAAGTCATAGGATAGCAAGAAAGAACAAAGATGGTGATATGGAAATTTTGATAGTAGCAACAATGTATTAAATTTTTTTTCACTAATGTATAACTCATATGCAATAAAACACACAATTTGTAAGCATTAAATCCATGTTATCTCCATATACCCCATAACCACCACATCAATCTACAGAACATTTCCATCACCCAGAAATCCCTTTTTGACTTCTATTCACTTTTGGATTAGTTTTGCAGGTTGCTGGATTTCATCTAAATGACATTATACAGTATATGCTTTCTATTGTGTTCAGTTTTTATCATTCAACATGTTTTTGAGATTCATATATACACATACACACCACACACGCACACACACACAAACACACACACAACATGTACAGAGGAAACATGGGTTTTAAATATTAGAAATAATGTTAAATATGAAAATACAGGAAGTAAAATACTGTAATAGTGTAACAGGAAATTTTAAAAAGAACCAACAGAAAAGTATAACAAGGGTACCAGAAAATTTCAAAAGTAATCAATAGAACTTTGAAAATTAAAAGAATAAAATAACTAAATTTAAAACTCACTTTGCCAGCAGATTAACACAACAGAAGACAGAATTTGGAAACTGTAAGGCAGACAGAAATACTATACAGAATGCATCATGAAGGAAGAAAAACTAGAAAACAGAAGATTAGAGACCTGGACAATCCAGTGAGAAGGTTTAGTGTGGATCTGATAATAGTCTGAGGAGGAAAGGAGTCAGAAAAGCAGGCAGAGGCAATAACTGGATAAATTATTGCTATGAATATTCAAAAAACGATGAAGATAACAAACCACCAATTCAAGAGGAATGTCAATCCCAAACAGGACAACTAAAAAGAATCTTATACCAACACATCATAATGAAACTATGACCAACAACAAAGGATTCACATAAGCAAATATTAACATCCCACTACAAAACTTAGAAATTTTATTACAGGAGAAAACAATCAGCTTAGTTCTTGAGAGGCAGGATAGTACAGTAGTTAAGAGCACAGACACTGAAACTAAACTGTACTAGTTTTGAATCCTAAATCCTCTACTTCTAACTGTGTGATTTTCAGCGAGTTACTTAACCTTTCTGTACTTTCCAGTTCCCTCATCTATAAAATTGGGTTAAAACTTAATCTTTCTTATATATAAAGTACTTAAAACAGTGCCTTTCTTACATATAGCACTATATTACCTATAACTCTTCAGTTAACTACTTCTAAGTACATAACCTTAAGATGTAATAAAAAGATGTCCACGTACACAACCACAAATGAAATTAAATATATAACGTATTCAATCACTAATACCCCTCAGATACAAATAGAGCCCCAAATCTGACTTAGTTGAATCATTTCAACTAGATTCTAGTACTTAGGCAATAAAATTTTAACACTATATAATAAAAGTCACCTTCTCCAGGATGACATACAAGAAGATATAAGGATGGTAGCTGAGGTAAAATTAACAAATCCTGAAACAAACTATCAATCTGAACTAGGGTAATATTAGATAAATGTAAAAATCTTTTTAAGAGATAATGGAGATGAAAGCAGTTACAAAAATCTGCTCTCTGAACTCAGGTTATCAAATAATGCCTTTATTTGTACCAAGCAAAGTATAAAAGCTAGATAGCACTAAGGTATACAGACATAAGATTTTCAAGTGATTACTTTTATGGCAGGTCTAAAAAAATGTTATTTGGTGCTAACAGATACAAATGAAAAAACATTTAAGGAAATTATGAACAAACTATCGATCAACAATAGATGTGAAAAGTTTTCTGTCCTTCCAATATTTCAATGAACTTGAGGTGAACGTGACTAGATACCACACTACAACCTCAAAATACTAGAGACATAGATCCAAAAATATTCCTAGGTTCCCCAAAGAACATTGAATAACCATAATAATCACATGTAATGCTGATCGCTGCACTTTAAAGGACAAAGCAGAGAGAAGAATGTTTCCCCCCCCCCAAAAAAAGGGAGAAAAGTAATTAAGAGGACAGAGATACAGCACAAAAATAAACTTTAAAAAGTGAGATATGTGTATCTATATAAGGAGGCTAAAAGACGACATCATAAATGTTTAGTAAGGCATCAATAGTATGAATAAGTTCCAAATTTGAAAGTAATAGGACCTAAGGATCACCACTTAATGAATGAAACAGATAAGGAAAGGTCAGCCCAGAGCAGGGGTTCCTGCTTTGACAGGACGGTTTATCTGACTTTACATTTCAGATAAATATCATTCACATACAAAACATGCGCCCATGAGTAGTTTCTCACTATAGGCTGTTGTATGAATAGCACAGACTATAAGTACTGCCACACTTTTATCCTTGCAAACCACAAGGATTATTGTAGATGTGCAAGACCCCTGGCCTACAACATGAGTAAAGGGAGAATTTCAAAGAAATGAAAGTCAGTGATGCCCGTTCAAACAATGTCCAGGCTGGGCATAGAGGCTCACGCCTGTAATCCCAGCACTTTGGGAGGCCAAGGTGGGCGGATCCCACAGTTGGCCTCCCTACTGTGATTAATATTTACCAACCTCTTGTCCTGATTATGCTCATGAGGGGACCTTGTAATTTTAACTTGGACTTTCTATGTACATCAGCCTATAGAAAGAAATTTGGGCTTTCTGGACCTGTAATAGTAAAATACTTCATTATTAGTTAGAAATTCACTCTTTCCTGAATCTCTGAGAGCTTGATAGTGTGAACTGATTACTGTGAATCCACCTCTAAGAAACACTGACAATTGTTGATAGCCTAACCAGGTTTTGTTTCATCAGCCAAGAACCAGATCTTAATACTAAGATGGACTCATCTAAGTAAAAGCTAGTCTAAAGCAACATACCAGCCAGCCAGTCTCTCCTGACGGCACTGCAACCCTACTGTACATCTTTATTTTCCAGTGAAGAAACAACAATTGTTACACTAAAACTTGGTCTATACTCATAAAGTTACTACAGTAGAGTTTTTGTATTTCCTCCCATTTGCCTCTTCTCCTAATAGTCTCTTTTATATATTCATTTCACATTACCCTAATAACAGAGGTTATATTGACAGAAACAAGGTTGACAAAGGCAGAGAAAACCAAGCCATGCTAAACCTCAGGAAAACCTGGCTGGCAAACCAGACAGAAAAGTTGTACCAGAAAAAATACGTCTTACAAAAATAATTTCTAGATCCCAATTCTTCCAAAAGCGATCTCTCTCTGCTTTGCAGCTGTCATTCTATGCACACTGAAGACTTCAGAATAATCCCACGGGAGTTTGCTTTCTTTGTTATCTATCGCCTACCGCATCAAGCATTTCTGAATCCCTGAAAGCCAAGCAATAGCTAGCTTTACCATACATATGAAGTATCAATTTAAAAAGAAATTTCAGAACTGGCAGTATGTTTTCAAAGAATATAATCCTGAATACTAAGAACACTTCTGTTTTATCAAAATGTTTGAATCAGAAGGCAAAATCTCATTAATTTTTATCTAATTAAAATTCCTTCCCTAAATTAAAAATAGGGCCATCATCCAAAACTTCAGTTCTGTGATGCTGCCAAAGTAAAGGGATTGAGTTTTTGTGGTACAGACAAACATGAATGTCCTACACATTACCATATACTTTAAGAGCAAGATGATGTTAGGAGCTTAGCAACAAAAGATTAGTTATGCATATATAACTTTCAAATAAATATCAAAATTATAAATGACATTAAAAACGATTAAAATATAAGTTAATAACTTGAAAAGTAACAAGGAAATAATTAAGAAACAGAAACTTACCAGCTTAATTGCCACATATTCATTTGTGTATAAATTTTTCCCTTGAAAAAGAAATAAAAAATCAGATTCTGCCAGTAATTTATTTTAAAGATACATTATATAAAACTGTACTCTGAAAAAAAAGCACATAAAACATTTCATTAAAGCATGGGTTTTTGCTTCTATATCGCCAAAAAAAAATTAACAAGGAAATATTTAAGCTTACTATCAACTCAATGATACATTTAGTATTTTGCCGAGATTCAAAGTAGAAAGTGATACGAATAAATACTACAGATATTAACAGCCCACTTACAAAAATGGTAAGATTCTGATTTCATTGGAATATTGTATATAATTTAGAAAGTAATCAATTGTCAAATGAATGCTTAAAAAATTTCAAAACCAGGACTCCTATATAAGAATACCAAATTCTTCTCCCAACCATGAAATCCATCATTTCATTTTAAATCCATCATTATTATGAGATGTAATCTTACTAAGGCTCATATTTAATCAAGTAAATGTATTAAATACATTTAAAATACCTGAAAGAAAATGAAATAAGATTTTAAAACATTCAATAATTGGCTCTGATAAACTACACACTTTGAGGACAAAAATAGTTATTGGCGCCTCACCCTAACCAGATTAATTCCAAATATCTTGAGAGTTAAATATAAGCTATAAAACAAGAAAAAATACACATCCATATATTAAGGACTTTCAGAGCATAAGAATTAAGATCATGGCCAGGTGCAGTGGCACATGCCTGTAATTCCAGCTACTCAGGAGGCTGAGGCAGGACAATTGCTTGAACCTGGGAGGCAGAGGTTGCAGTGAGCTGAGATCGTGCCACTGCACTCCAGCCTGGGCAACAGAGTGAGATTCCATCTCCAATATATATATATGGATCATAAGGTTTTATACAGATTTGATTAAATATTTAATATCACCAGAGATTTAATATCACTAACTCGTAAAGAATTCAAATGAATTACAATAATCTTTAGCATTGGCAAATCAAAAATAATCTAGAAAATTCCAATTGGTCAGCATCTGTAGTCAACGTAGAGTACTAAGGAGAATTTTGGAAGCACTAAGTATATGAAGATAATTTGATTAATGTGAAGTATATTAAAAAGAATTTTAAAAAGTACAACATGATTTCTGAGTTTCCAGGATTTTTTCAAATAGCATGTATTACTTTTATAGTGAAGAAAATAGAATAACAATAGTTTTTTGTTTTTTTTTTAACAGTAAGAGTAAATGGCCCTAATCACACTGGCTACTGAACACAGAAGAAGTAATCATCAACTTTGACACATGTGATTTTCCAACATCATAGCCCAAACCTCCTTCCATACAGCAGCTGATGAATGGTAGTAAAACTTCTAGGCAAAATTCCAGCTTTTTATACAAATATTGTAATACTTTTCTGAATTTTCTCCTTATTGTACAAAATTGAGTGAAAATAAAAGGAAAAAAGAAATATTCATATTAACACTAAGTAATAGAAGTGTCATAAACTCAACACAGTTGGCAAAAAGGATGGAATTCAATAGAAGTTCCAAAAGTGGTCAACTTTAAGCTCTATTCATATAGGTACTGAACCTATATACATATTTTTTAAATGACAGAATATTTCATATTTTTAGTCAATTATTTCAACATTTAGATGTACCTCCATACACATTTTCAAAAATGCTTTACATATGAAAAGTTAGGCTTCCTTCTAGTAACCTTATATAGTGAATAATTTAATGGTATTCACAATGAAGAACTTAATCTCAAAGAACTGTCTAATTAACAAAGAGACAATTCTGGTTTTGAGTTCCAAGACAGAATATCCCAAACATATTATTATCCTTTCATAACTATTTTGTATATGTTGTCTATTCACAAGTCCACAGGGAAAAAACTTCACAGGACAAGAAGTTAGGTTAAATACAGATCTCAAAGAATCAAAATATGCCAAATGCCTCTAAAAGTACCATTTTTATTGGCTTTTATATGTTCCAATGTCTACCTTTTAAGTCACAACAGAAAGCACTAAATCCTAAAAGTATTATCTTTTTTTTAAATACTAGACATTTTGCTGAAAGTCACCATTATAAACATGAACAAAGATTAAACAATAACACGAGTGCATTTTTGTCACCTAGCATAGCCACAGCCTCACATAGTTGACTTTTAGTCAGTATTTGTTATACACATAAACAAACAAATGATGCACAAAATACGTGTTTATGTATGGTGTGAGTGAAAGGGAGAGAATGTGCATGTAGGGAGAATCCCGTTAAAAGAAAAATCTAAGTAAACTGGTGCCACCTAAGCGATGTTTTAATCTAATTTTAAAAGACATTTCCAGTAAAGCACTGTGCCATACATTTTAAACTTGAAAATATAGTTTTACCGATTTTGTGGCTTTGAGGTGGCAATTATCAGAAACCATGTTCTTCAAAATCCATGTATATATATGTTTACAGTAGGAACAACTATTTACCCAACAATAGCCATTCTCCCCCTACAGAATGCCCAAGCTTGAAAACGGATGCCCAGCTAAGGCATTTCCCGCCTCTCTTCAGCTTAGTGTGGCCATGTGACTAAGTTCGGGATGTCAATGAACATTAGGTATGTTCCTCCTCACTTCCAGGAAGGAATGTATATGCTCCTGTCCCTTTTTTTTCTTTCTTCTTGCCGGCTGGGAGATGGAAACATCTAAAGCAATCACCTTGTGCACAGAGACTGAAGTCACATATTAAGGATGCAGAGGTACCTTGACACTTTGGATTTCTCCCTCTGGTCGGTGTCATGTAAAATAAAAATAAGCCATTTGCCTGAAACCACTATATATTGGATTTATTTGTTACCATTTTACAGTCTATTCCTTAGTTATTACATTTTTGATAAGTTTTATAATAGCTTCAGTTAGAAACAGTAGAAAAATCAATAAACATGAAAATAATGAGCCCATCCAAATCTACATATTTATTTGATACATATACTGTAAAGCCTGCAAAATTTTCAACAAAGCAATTATCAAATATGAACAAGAAAATAAGGTGTTATTAGCTTTGTAGGAATAAGAAACAAAAAAACAAAAATAAGAGATGTTATGGAAGCTCCTGTGGTATACTTAATTACGTCAAAAGTTACAATATCTTATTTCAGGTATGGTTATGCATAAAGCAATAAGTAACATTCTCTTCTGTGCTTTTTTTTTTTTGCAACAAAGTCTCAGTCTGTCACCAGGCTAGAGTGCAGTGGCACAATCTTGACTCACTGCAACCTCTGCCACCCGGGTTCAAGACATTCCCCTGCCTCAACCTCCCAAGTAGCTGGGATTACAGGTGTGAGCTAACACACCCGGCTAATTCTTTATATTTTAGTAGAGACGGGGTTTCACCATGTTGGCCAGGATGGTCTTGATCTCCTGACCTCATGATCCACCAGTCTCGGCCTCCCAAAGTGCTGGGATTACAGGAGTGAGTCGCCACGCCCGGCCTGTGCTCTTTTATATTATAGTCAGATGTGGCCACAGATTGCAAAGGAAAGTCTCTACAAAAATAAAGGTTATTATACTTACAAATTCTGGAGAGGAAGTCACACTGCATGCCACACACGGTCACAGGGGAAGCACTAGGTTTTGGTTAGGTGGCAGAAAACAAGAGCAAGCAGAGTAACTAGGCCAAGCATTTACTGGAGTTTCCAAGGGTAAGGCAAAGCCAGGCAGGGTAAATGGTTAAGGATTACTCAGTTTGAATAATACCAGTGACCCTTGGGCTATAATAATGGGTCTCTAGCTGCCAGGTACCTGGCCCTGGAGGGATGATTAGGTAAAAGAATACTGCCTCCTGGGTGTATGGGCCAGATAGAAAAGGGCTGTGGATTGGTTAGTGTGCATATAAAAGGCATGCTCCCAACTGAGTTTTTTGTTAACTCTAAAAATTGGTTAACCCCTGGAGGGGCAATCTCATCCCAGCCAGAAAAATTTTTTAAGATGTCAAAACATCATAATATACAGAAAAATAAAAACACATATATAATACAATCAACCCTGTATTTTAGCTAGCTATGTTTGGTCTTATTGAGTGACTATCAAAAACATTCCTAGGAGTTTGACTGCCCAAACTAGAAATACATCTACCAATAAAGAATGCAAACCTTACTACCAACACATAAAATAAAACTACAAAAACAGATGGTTCTCAACTACGACGGTTCAATTTGAGATATTTCAACTTTATATAATGTTGCAAAAACAGTATGCATTCAATAGTAATCATACTTTGAAATTTGATCTTTTCCTGGATAAGATCAAAATAAGCAATAAGTAGTATGATACTAACTCTCAATGCTGGGCAGGTGCAGTGAGGTGATGCTCTCAAGTCACCCACACAATCATGAGGCTAAACAACCAATATTCTACAGCGAACTGCATTGCCAGCATTTTCTGGATATTGTGTTTTGAGTTTTTCAATGTCATTATGTCTATAAAATGCCCATTTTGAACAAGATATTTCAACTCAAGATGGTTTTATCAGGATGTAACCCCATCTTAAGTTGAGGAACATTTGCACATCAATTCACCTTCCTTATTTCTTCTCATTTTTTTAGAGACAGGATCTCACTACATTGTCTAGGCTGGACTCAACCTCCTAGAATCAAGTGATCCTCCTACCTCAGCCACTCCATTAGCTGGAACTACAAGCATGCCCCACCAAGCCTGACTGTTAATTTTTTTTTTTTTTTTTTTTTTTTGGAGATAAGAGTTTCACTCTCTTGCCCAGACTGGAGTGCAGTGGCACGATCTCAGCTCACCACAACCTCCACCTTCCGGGTTCAAGTGATTCTCCTGCCTTAGCCTCCCGAGTAGCTGGGATTACAGGCGTGTGCCACCATACCTGGCTAATTTTTGTATTTTTAGTAGAGACAGGGTTTCACCATGTTGGTAAGGCTGGTCTCGGCCTCCCAAACTGCTGGGATTAAAGCCACCACGCCTGGCCCTGTTCAATTTAAAATAAAAACAGAATCCAGATAAAAATGATAAATACATGTATTTAAATACAATTTAAAAATAAATAAACATAATTTAAATTATTATTTTAAATGCTTACCAATTTTTTTTAATCTCGTGATTTTTTTTTTTTTTTGAGACGGTGTCTCACTCTGTCACCAGGGCTAGAGTGCAGTGGCACAATCATAGCTCACTGCAACTTTAAACTCCTGAGCTCAAGTGAACCATCTGCCTCAGGCTCCTGAATAGCTAGGACTATAGGCATACACCATCACACCTGGCTAATTTTTTTAATTTTCTGTAGAGACAGGCTCTCACTATGTTATGGAGGCTGGTCTTGAAGTCCTGGCCTCAAGCCACCCTCCTGCCTCGGTCTCCCAAAGTGCTGGGATGATAGATTAGAGCCACCATGCCAAGCACCAAAGGTCTGAAGTTTTAAATGGCCTGCAATGTCTGGAACAGTCTTCTATTCCAAAAAGAACTGTCCAGCCCAAAATACCAATTGCACCCTTACTGAAAATCACTTACCTATAACATGTGTAACTTATAGTCTTTCTTACCCAATATAAACCACATAAAATTTCAGTACCAGAAATCAAATGTTCAAGATATATCTATTAATGAGGTTTTAAAGAAAGTAATTTAAGAATATAAACGAGCTTTTAAGGTTAGTGTTTATCGAGGTATAGAAAGAATAATGCTCACAATAACATTTTCTTAACAAATAAACCATCTGGGGCTTTTTGAAAAGCAGTAAAATACTCTTTTAGTAGTCTATGAAAAAGGAAGAATAAAATGATTAGTCTATAACTACATATCATATGTATCTTTTAAGAATACATAAAACACAGATGCAGAGACAATACACTCAAATAAATTTACATAAATATATACAGATGTATATATACACCAAAGACCCATAGATAGATTAGATAGGTAGGATAGACAGATTGATATACTAAGAAGCCATCATATTCCTATTCCTGTTTATTCACACACTGCAAAAGAAAAGGGTGTTTTACTGCTGTTTTAGTATGGTACATATAGATTCTCACATTGTCCTTGTTAAAATGGTCAACAAGCTTTGTGTGAATACACACACACACCTATATACTCATGCCACATGTGTGTATATGGGTGTGTGTGTATATTCACACAAATACATATATATCTGTGTATGTGTATAGTTTTTCTGAAATAAACCATATGAAGCAGATTTTGAATAAAAATGGCCAAAGTATACGCAAGTATAGTGTCAGTCTTTTCACAATATTATCTAAATTTGATCATCACAGTAACCTAGGAGTGGAAATAATCCCAATATAAAGAGAAATTTGAGGGCCTGAGTGGTTAAATGATTTATATGCTGCATAAGGCACTATTTTTATATTCTTCCAGAATATTATCAATGCCTAATCGTGCCTGGTACATGATAAATATGTAATAGGTATTGGATGTTGCTGAGAATTATACACAAGAACAGATTATAAACAAGTAAATAATGTTTTTTCTAACTCCAAAGTCTGACACAATTTAGGGATTTCAAAGTATCTAATTCAATATCCTTCAAATAATAAAACATAAAACATTGCCCCTTATTTGAATCCCTACTACATATGAAAGAGTCTGCCGGCAACATCATGTAACAACAATATATAAATTATATAATTGCCTTTTATTGGCTTGCTTCATTCAAATATTTAATGTATATCAACTACACAAAACTATTAAGATGAAGGAGTAACTACAGATTAGGGTACTTCACAAGATGAAAATGAGTAGTAGTTGAGTAGATAAACATACAATTGGATTTATTTCTAGCAGCAGGATTGAATCTAAGAGAAACTGTAAAGTCAAATTTTCTTTTTACATCTAAAGTTCACTCTTGGTGGTCCACTGACCAGAGCCCTCATGGTACCTGAATACTGACTTCTATACAACCATTATAACCACACCACCCTCCTTCTTGGTTTTCTGCAATGAAAAACCTACATCACTACTGTATTAGGAGTTAAAAGACCTACAATTTTGATCATGAGCTTGCCATTAAATTGTTGTGAACATCTGACAATTAACTTTCCCTCACTGAGTTCCAACTGCCTTGAATATAGAATTAGGAAACTTAATTAGACCAGCATTTCTCAAATTCCCCTAATTATGATAACCTGAATCAATACTGAGCCACTTGTTAAGAATATGGAATCCAGACATACTTGAAGCAAAAGAAAGGGTAGAAAGAAAAAAAATTAAATTACAATGATGTAAATTCATTAATTGTATGCAGTTTCAATATATTAACTTGACTTTAAGCCATACCCATGCCCCAAAAGTGATCAATTACTAAACATTTTTGAATCTGAAAAAGTAGTCTAAATATCATTCCTAAAGAAAACTGCAAAGGCTTTACCGGAAGCTATTTCAGCTTACTGGGCCTTTTTGTTTGTTTTCTCATAATCTGGATGATTAATCTCTGGATGGTTAAAGTAGACATTCCTATACTAGAGAATTTCTTACACATGAAAATACAAGCACAAAAGAAATTCCCACCATCTGTATTCTTTAAAATTACCACAACCATTAAACAACTAAACAAATTATATACTAAATCATTTTCATTAAAAAGTATCTTCCAATTTTTAAAGTGCTTCTAACATAATGGAATAAACAAAATAGTCTTACCTAATCGTAATTCTCCAAAATTGCCACATCCAATTTTTTTTCCAACTCTAAAGTTAGGTCCAACCATTAAAACTCCAGACGATGAAGACCCAGTTCCTCGAGTGTTGTGCCCCGATCGACCACTAGGTCGTGCCATTCTATCATCTGATTTGTCCTTGTCTTTCTTTTTATTTTCCATATCAAGTTTGCGGTACTCCACTTTGAATTCTTTAATCAAGACAAGCACACTGAAATAGGGTATTGTGAAAATAGGTACATCACTAGGTAACTGTACCAGATGGGTAATGTTAACATTCAAATTGCAGTAGGTAGTCAATTAACTGGAGCATGTTCATCCCATTCGTAAAATTTTTCTCAGTTGTCTTTTCAGCAAAACATGTCTTCAAAATTATCTTTTCAATGATGTGGGCTGATATTGATAGAGAGCTAGAATATTAAGAAAAGGAAATTAGTCAACTAAGAATTTTAAAATATATGTTTGGGAAATTAGATAACAAAAGTTTAGGCAAGAATTACTGCTATCTGTTGATGCCCATTGAAATTAAACCACAGTACACACTTTTAAGTTAATCATTATCCTTTATTTATATACTTTAATACCAAAGATAGGACAAAAATAAAACAAAGAAATCACATATTCAATTACTTCTTAAAAATTAAAAAAGGGACAAAATTATGTTTCATAAATCAATATATATTCGCTAATATAAACCTTTCAGTTTAAAATTATCTCAATTAGACAAACAGTACTCAAAATATTTTTCAAGTCTTTTGGAAGAGTCTTCCCCATTCATATTCTCTGGGAATTACCTCAATTCTGTGGTAATTCTGCACCCTTACACGATTTCCCTACTTTTCTATGGTAATTCTGCATCCTTATGCAATTTCCCTATTTCTGTTTGAACAATTTGAGTGGGTTCTTGTTCTTTGCTATTAAAGAAATTATTATTTCAAAATATAGTCACTAATGAAGAAACAAGGATTGATATCAAATGCTTATTCCTATTACAGAACTTTTCTAATTATATAATGCATCCACAAGGTTTGTAACAAACAGTATTTTCTGATTAATTTTTAGCAACTCCCCAAATATGCAATTACTGTTACAAGTAGTGACTACCTGGGGCTGGTAGTGTGGGCAGTAAGGGAATTTACCAAGACAGTAAAGAAAGGCAGACTTATTAAAAAAAAAAGTAGGAAAACACTTTGCAGGAAAGCAATGGGCATATCAGCAAGAGAGGAGCTGACTGAAAAGAGACAAAGGCTTGGTGGGGATTATATAGGATCGTTCTTGTGCTGGAGAGGGCTACGTGCAGTACTGATAATGTCAAGGTTGCAATGAGCTAACCAGTATTTTTCTATCAGCAGAGGGTCTGGTGATAAGCTGGGCACAGGGAGACTCTGAGTTTTTTCTGCAGAAAGGCTATGTGTCCTGGACCATGAAGAAAGTCCAGGATTTTCTTTTTACAGGCCCCCACCCCCACCAGCCTGACTCCTTTTCCCTAATTAGGATTCCACAATTACTCCTAACACTCAATCTATTTATGAAGTTTGTTTTATTTGCCATACTCTTATTTGCAGATGCAACTGTAAGCTTCCGTTTACTCTGCTTCCAGCCATGACACAGTAACTATACTGAACATCTCTTCCTGTTGTAAATAAGTAGAAAGCTGGACAAAATATATAAAGCATCTGTTTTTAGGCATCAAACAATAGGCAGTACAGACTGTGATCCTTGAGAAAAAACACAAAAGGTGAGTCTCACCTTCATCCAAGCTCTCTGGCTAGGAGCAATTTCCCAACCACAGCACAAGGAGGCCTCAGGCAACACAGAGTGATCGTAGATCAGAATATGCAGCTGTTGAAGTGAATGGAATTTGTAGTACATAGAATCAAAAATGAAGTAGTTCTGTAGTGGGGTAGGTTAAGGTGGTAGCAGGACAGAAGGCTAGGCTACATGTGTGCAAGGGAATAGTCTGAAAAACCTAGCAGAAAATAGCTACTACAATGTTAAATGAAGAATAGAAATACTAGAAGCTTCACAGAGCTGAGAAACTTTAAAGTTCCTATTCAGTCAATAGAAGAACCTCACTAATATCCCAGGCATTCAGCTCGGAAGCCACAAAAACTCTCAAAAGTAAGGACCATACCCAACAGTAAAGGCCTACTCTAGAGTGTCCCAATTAAAGTCTAAAACTAAACCTAGATAGCATTCAGAGTAGCTCTGAACACATTAATTGCATCCTAGAACAAAACTTAAGTCTCAAAAAGACAAAAACCCAGACTCTCAACAATACTGCTAAAAATTACCAAACATGCAAAGCAGCATTAAATGTAACCCATGGCTAAGAAACAAAGCTGTCAAAGGAGACAGACCCCAAGATGACCCTGATGTTTGAATTAGAAGACATGACTTAACACTAATAAATAGCTATGAGTCCTATTTAACTGAAGAAAAAGAAGAGGACAGAAAAAAAAAATTGAAGAAATAATAGCTGAAAACTCCCCAAATTTAATAAAACAAAACAACAAAAACCTACAAATTGTCTCAGCAATAATCACATAATAAATTTTTAAAAAAACTAAATCTAGGCACATCACAGTCAAACTGCTAAAATCCAAAAATTTAAACAATCTTGAAAGCAGAGAGAGAAAAAACTAAACTTGACATACAGGGGAACTAACTACTTATCAAAAACAATGGAGGCCCAAAAGAAAAGGGAAGGATATTTTCAAAGCAATGAAAGGGGGAATAAAAACTTTCAACTTAAAATTCTTTTTCCTCTTTTTTTCCCACAGGTGTTGATCAGTTCAGAATTCTACATTCAGTAATGTTATTCTTTAAAACAAGGAGAAAGAAAGGCATTTTTAGATGAGGGAAGCTGAGAATTGGTCACAAGTAGACCTGCACAACAAGAAATGCTTTTTAAATAGTCCTTTAAGCTGAAGTAAATCACATAATACCAGACAGAAATTTGAAACTTTAAGAAGAAATCTAGAGCGCTGAAACTAGGAAATGCATGGGTATTCATTTCCTTTAAAGATAAATTACCATTTAAAGCATAAACAATTTCTTATGTCATATATAACACAGGTAGAAGTAAAATATATGACAACATAAATAGCAAGGAGGGGTAGTTGTAAATGGAATTACATTGTTTTAAGACTCCTTCTTGAAAATTATTAAGAAAGTAGATTTTAAGTGTTCTCACCACACACAAAAAATGTGAGGTAATGCATATGTTAATGAGCTCTATTTAGCTATTCCACAACATATACATATTTCAAAATATGTACTACACAATAAATAAATACACATAATTTTTATTCATTATATAAATTAAAAAGAAAACAGGAAAAAGATTATATTTGTGAAGAATTACGTGGTTATACATTAATTCTAGGTAGCCAATGATAAGTTAAAATGCACATTTTAATACCTAGCTCAAACAATAAAAAATGAGTTCCAATAGGAATAGCTAAAAAAAACCAGGACAAGAAATAAAATGGAAGATTAAACATTACTTGGTTATAACAACAGAGAAAGAACATACAAGACAAAAGAAAACAAATAGCAACACAGTGGACTTTAAAACGCACATAAAATGAAATAGACCAGATTTTCCCCCAAACAGGCAAAAACTGTCAGACTATATAAAAAAACAAGACTCAACTACAAACTGTTTACAAGAAACTATTTTAAATACAAAGATACAGCAGTGGCTCACACCTGTAATCCAAGCCCTTTGGGTGGCTGAGGTAGGTGAATCACTTGAGCTGAGGAGTTCAAGGCCAGCCTGGGCAACATGGTGAGAGCTCATCTCTACTAAAAATACAAAAATAATGAGCCGGGAGTGGTGGTGCACACCTGTGGTCCCAGCTACTCCGGAGGCTGAGGTGGGAGAATCACTTGAACCTGGGAGGTGGAGGTTGCAGTGAGCCAAGATTGTGCCACTACACTCCAGCCTGGGCGGCAGAGTGAGACCCTGTCTCAAAATAAATAAATAAACAAATACAAATATACAGATAGATTGAAAGTTAAATAATAGAAGAAGATATACTGTGTAAAGAGCACATATAAGAAGCTTGTGAGGCTATATTATCATACAAACTCGACATCAAAACGAAGGATTATCTCCAAATTTACGGATTATAATAAATTATAATTTATTTATAATCTATATAATAAATTATAAAAATTTATCATTTTTATAATGATAAAAATATGAATTCAATAGAAAGACATAAAAACAATAAATATGTATGAGTAAACTGAGGCAATAACAAAACTAAAAAGAAAAAAGGCAATCCTTATTAAAAATATTTTAATCACATGCTTTCAGTAATCAATAAGGTATAAGAAAAAATATCAGTAGGTATATGGCAGATCTAGATAATACCATCAACTACCTTGAACTAACTGACATTTATAAAACACTGCAAAATAAAATTCCTTTCAATGCTCACCAAGAAAGATCTTATGTGTGCTTTAATTTAAATCTCAAGTAACTAAAATATTACAAAGTATATCTGGTCAAAATAGAATTAAATTAGAAATTGCTAGGCATGGTGGCTCATGCCTGTAATCTCAGCATTTTAGGAGGCCAAGCTGGCTACCCAGCTTGGGGTCAGGAGTTCAAGATCAGCCTGGCAAACATGGTTAAACCCTATCTCTATTAAAAATACAAAAATTAGCCATGCCTGTAGTCCCAGCTGCTAGGGAGGCTAAGGCAGGAAAATCACTTGAACCTGGATGCAGAGCTTGCAGTCAGCAAAGATCGCATCATTGCACTCCAGTCTGGGAGACAGAGCAAGACTCTGTGTCAAAAAAATAAAAAGTAAAAACAAATTAAATTAGAAATCAATAGCTATATAGCATCTAGAAGAGTCCCCAAATTTGAAAATTAAACACACATTTAAATAATTCATGAGTTGAAAAAAAAAATCACAAGAGAAATTAGAAAAAAAATCTAATTTGCAATTCTAATGCTTAGCAGGAAATCAGAAGCTTTAAAGGCCTATATTAGAAAAGAAGTTTTTAATAGGTGATCTGGGTTTTCTCCTTAAAACAGCTAGAGAAAAGAGCAAATCAGACAAGAGTTGGGGAAGTACTTCAATAGTTATTACTAATAGTTATAAACATATAGGAAAATATAGTCTTAATGAGCAAAAACAGGAATTCTCAGCTAATAAATGGATAAATACCAGAGCGAAGGGAAAAAAGAGACCCTTGAATAAAAACTGTCATATCTGAAATGAAAACCTTCACTAGATACATTCAATGGCAAACTGGATAAAGCAGAAGTGTCAATAATTTCCAAAGAAATTATCCAGAGAAGAAAATCAATAAGACAGAAAATAGACCACAATAGAGAAAACAGACAAAAAGCTGATTTTTGATAAAGGTCAACAAACTTTGTAACCCCTAGCAAAAATGATCAAGAACAAAAGAGAATATACAAATTACCAAGAAGAAGAATGAAAGAAGAGATATCGAAATGATCCTATCAATACTAAAGGACAAAGGACTCTAACTTTAGGCCAATAAATTTAATACAGATGAAATGGACAAATTCCTTGAAAAATGTAACATAGGGATACAAAGTGAAACAAAATATCAAAAGTTCCACATCTATTTCTAAAATTTAATCTATTAAAAAATGTTCCCAGAAAGATGATTTCACCAGTGAATTTTATCAAATGTTAGGAAAAAGTAATACTAATCTAAAGCTCTTTCAGGACATAGGAATAATCATTCTACTTTGTGAGATCAGCACAATCCTAACACAAAAGCCTGACAAAAACAATTTATGCAAAGAAAATTAAACCTGCATTTCTCATGAGCATAGATACAAAAATTCTATGTACAACATAAGCAAATATGTAGAAAGTTTAACAAGTAATAATCAAAAAAGGTTTAATACTAGAAGTGTAGGACTGACTTAACATTTTAAATCAATTCACCAAACTAACAGAAAAAAGAAAACCCACAGGGATAATCTTTTTTTTTTTTTTTTTTTTTGCTGCTCTGTTGCCCAGGCTGGAGTGCAGTGGCACAATCACAGCTCACTGCAGCCTCGACTTCCTCAGGCTCTGGTAATATTCACACCCCAGCCTCCAAGTAGCTGAGACCACAGGCACACACCACCACGCTCAGCTAATGTTTTCGGTTTTTGTACAGACAAGGTTTTGCCATGTTGCCCAGGCTGGTCTCAAACCCCTAAGGTCAAGCAATATGCCCACTTCAGCCTCTCAAAGTGCAGGCATTACAGCCCAATGGGATCATCTCAACAGACAAGAGATTACATTTGACAAAATTCAACCCATGACCAAGCTCATGCCTATAACTACAGCACTTTGGAAGGCCAAGGCTGGAAGATTGCTTGAGGCCAGGCCAACCTGAAAAACAAAGCAAAACCCTATCTCTGTGAACATGTATTTTTTTAAAATGATAATTTGAAATGGATCATAGAGTTAAATACAAATACCAGAACCAAAATGAGGAGAATCTTTGCTATCTTAAGGTAAGTGAAAATGTCTTAGAAGATGCTAAAATCACTAATCATTAAAAAATCTTAATAAAGTCATCAAAAATAATCATTTCCCATCAAGCGATAGCTTTAAAAAAAAATACAAATACTTCAGTATGGGCTAAATTATTTTATATGAGTGTGTATAAATATGTTGCAACTGAACAGTAAGAAAAACAACTCCTTTTTTTTTTTTTTATCGTTCTTTAGGTGCTGGGGTACATGTGCAGATCATGCAGGATTGTCGCATAGGTACACACATGGCAAGCTGGTTTGCTGCCTCCATCTCCTGGTCACCTATATCTGGCATTTCTCCCCAAGTTATCGCTCCCCAACCTCCTCACCCCCCACTGTCCCTCCCCTAGCCGCCCACAATAGACCCAGTGTGTAATGCTCCCTTCCCTGTGTCTATGTGCTTTCATTGTTCAACACCCACCTATGAGTGAGAACATGTGGTGTTTGATTTTCTGTTCTTCTATCAGTTTGCTGACAATGATGGTTTCCAGATTCATCCATGTCCCTACAAAGGACACAAATTGGGATACACGTGCAGAACGTGCAGGTTTGTTACACAGGTATACACGTGCCATGGTGGTTGGCTGCACCCATCAACCCGTCATCTACATTAGGTATTCTCCCTAAAGCTATCCCTCTCTTGGCCTCCCACCCCCCTAACAGGCCCCAATATATGATGTTCCCCTCCTTGTGACCACGTGTTCTCACTGAACAACTCCATTTTTTTAAATACAGAAAAGATTTAAACAGACTCTTTTCACAAAGAATATACAGTACACAAATTGCATATATACAAAGCATATGAAGCTGTGCTCAATATCATTACTTGTCATGCAAATATAAATTAAAGCCATAATGAAATATCATTTCACAGCCATTAAAATAGCTAACATTTAAAAGACTGACAATACCAAGTATTGGTAAGAATGAAGAACTAGAACTCTCAAAAAAGTGCTGGTGGAAGTAA